GATTCAGCCACCTCCCCACATCAAGTACCAATACTGACCGGCAGATTGCACTAGTGGAGAAGAGGTAATTGCCACTATCCAGTTGCAAGACAGGGACCTTAGGCCAGGTCAGGAACGGGACCACACAATCTAATGCAGGAAAGAAAAATGGGTGAAAAACAGAAAACATACTTTGTCAACTAGAAGGACAACTTTGCATTATTCAGGGGAAAAGGGAAGAAAGATGGGTAGCCTCACTTAACCCAGAGATTTCAGCATAGGATTACTGAAAGGGGGTAGGTCCAGAATGAGCTCGGGAGACCAGCAGGTGCTCAGCTGAGACTGCCAGCTGGAAACAACAGATGGGGATTGAAGAAAGGAACAATTAAAAGTTTAACTAGGATATCTGAGAATGATCTGTGGAAGAACAAAATTAACAGTACTGGGAAGATTGGCAAGAGAACTGCTTAAGAGTTACTCAAACGGTTGGCTGAGAATGAGAAGAGGTAAATAAAAAGGAGTGTTTACGTGTGTGTGTGTGTGTGTGTGTGTGTGTTTGTGTGTGAGGGAGAGTAGGGTTTCCTAGGAACGACAAAGAGGTGCCTGGGGGGGGCACCTCTTTGTCACTAGTGTGTGTGTTGTGACTAGTGTGTGTGTTGGGGGTGGGGTCTGGTAGATGTGGGAGAAAGTTGCAAAGAGGAAGTTGCACTGGGGCGAAGTAGGGTCCTAGAAGATGAAGAAGGGAGGCTAGAGATGAGTGACAGGTATACTGAGGGTACCTAAAGGAAGTGATTGATGAAAGATATGGCTGGAAAGGAAGAGGGGATGGGGGACCAAGGATAATGGGGATGGGGTTGACGGGAGTGCGTGGTAGGGGTTGGGGTTTGACTGAGACAACTGCGGACTGGGAGTCAGGCGTGATTCCGTCCCGCCCCTCTCATCCACCGCCCACCAGCACCAACCCGACTACCTTCAGGGCCTACAGTGCTGATGAGCAGCTCCGCTCTGCCCTGCGCCCTCTCGGCCGCGGCCAGCACAGGTAGGCTCCCCGGGGCGCCCTCGCTCACAAACAGTCTCATTTCGCCGTGGATCCCACGCTGATGCAACCGGAACCGGCTTCCCGCCTGTGGGCTGAGCGACCAGCGCGAGGCACGCTGGGAAATGGAGTTCTGAATTAGGCCATTGCTCGCGCTCCGCTCCCGGGTAGTAGACTATTTCTCCCATCATGCAACACTAGGAAACCAGAAAGGAGTATCATAGAGAAGAAGAGGTCGTAGATGCAGTGCTAGAGCAGCACTTTTTTGGTAGGCGGGCCCGAGGAAAAGTTTAAGGGTAGGGCCCCGGGCACTTTAATCGTCTAAAGCCTCGGGAGGGCAGTGACGGAAATCAACGTCAGCAACCGTCTTGTTGCGCTGTCTTGACAGCAACTACTCGCAAAGGCCAACCCTCCAAGTTCATAAGAATTAGAGTTGAGAGTTACGATAAACTGACTTTAGTGACATAATGGAATTTAGGGTAGATACCCTAATAGTAAAAAAGAGTGTAACTATTAAATATTGATTTAATACCAGTCTGCAGCTCACATACAGCTAGACAATCTCGTTAAAGAGGGAGGGAGCATGTGTAGGGAAAAGTTCGGGTTAAAGGGAGGTAAGGCTAAGAGTTTGGCAATAAGTAAATATTATACAAGGAAGCACGCGTATCAGTAATTGAGAAAGGGATCCTTCTTAGCCATCTTCCTATCTCCTTAAGAATAATAATAGCACTTATGAGCCAGTCACTGTTCTAAGCACTGCACATATATTAATTTCATTCTGAAAAATGCTGTAGAAGTTCTGGGCCTTTTGAAGCTAGGCCATAAGAAGTCTTCTAGCTTCTGTCCATGCTTCTGAGCTGCCATGTAAGAAGTGTTACTACCCTGAGACTGCCATGCTGGAGAGGTCTCACATTGATATTCTGGCTGACAGCTCCAGCTGATTCCAGCATTCCAGTCATCCCCATCAAAGTGTCAGATAGACAAGTTCTGGAACTTGTTGCAACAATGTTGCTAACCTTTTTTAAAATCAGAGGGATTATTCATTATGAATTTGTACCAATTGGACAAACAGTTAACCAAGTTTACTATTTGGAAGTGCTCAAAAAGCTGCATGAAAAAGTTAGACGAAAACAGCCTGAACTTTTCACCAACAATTCATGGCTCTTGCATCACGACAATGCACTAGCTCACACGGCACTGTCTGTGAGGGAGGTTTTAGCCAGTAAACAAATAGCTGTATTGGAATACCCTCCCTACTCACCTGATCTGGCCCCCAATGACTTCTTTCTTTGCCCAAAGATAAAGGAAATATTGAAAGGAAGACATCTTGATGACACTCAGGACACCAAGGGTAATACGACAACAGCTCCGATGGCCATTCCAGGCAAAGAGTTCCAAAATTGCTTTGAGGGTGACCAGTTAGCTCAGTTGGTTAGAGTGTGGTGCTGTTAACACCAGGTTGCCAGTTCGATCCCCGCATGGGCCACCGTGAGCTGCACCTTCCTTAAAAGAGTCAAATATGCCATTGTAGCATGAAAGCAATGTGTAACCAATTGGCTCTTCCCCAATAAAATTTTTTTTTAATTGCTTTAAAGGGTGGACTAGGCACTGGCATCGGTGCATAACTTCCCAAGGGGAGTACTTCAAAGGTGACCATAGTGATATTCAGCAATGAGGTATGTAGAACTTTTTCTAGGATGAGTCATGAACTTAATTGCCTGGCCTTGTATGCTAATAAGCATTCTATAAATATTTATTGAATTTAAATTTAACTGATAGTGGTACTGGAAGAAACAGGTTTTGGAGGGAAGTTGACAAGTTCAGTTTAGAGCATAATTGTTTTGGTGGTACCTGTGAACTACCCAAGTGGGGTTTTTCAGTGGACAGTGGGTTAGACTGGAGCTCCAGATAAAGATCTGGACTGGAGATGTGGTACTCAGCAGCATAATGGAGGTCATTTGAGCTGGAGAGAGAATAAGCCCGCCTAAGGTATACAGAGTGCAAAGAGTACAGGATCCCAGATGTACCTGTAGAGTTTAAGGAACAAACAAAAGGAAGTCCTTCCTTTTGCAATAGAGAACTGCTAGAAAGGTAAGGGTGACACCTGCAGTGTTTGTAGGGAGAAAGGTCAATTGTGTTGGCTGCTGCTGAGATGTCAAACAGCATAACAACTGCAAAGTGTCTGTGCAAAGTCAGGGGTGACCCTAGTGAGGAGTGACCTTGGAAACGTGAGGGAATCAGGAGAGAAGAAATACAGACCGTGTGTGTAGGTAACTCTTTCAAGAAGTTTGATTTTAAAAAGGAAGAGAGAGATATGGTGGTAACCGGAGAGCACAGTCAAGGGAGGTTTGTCTAAAGATGGGGAAGACTTGGCTACGTTTAAAAGCTAATGGGCGAGCTCTGAGCAACACGGTCACAAGTTCCATTCACGCCCGAGCTGAGCTGCTGCTGTGCTGCCAACAGGTAGCAGGATGGCTCAGCCAAAAAAAAAAATGCTAATGGGAAGGAGTCAAAAGCTAACGAGAAGGAGTCAATAAAGAGGGAGAGGATAAAGTGCAGGAAAGATAGTTTCAGAAAATGCAGAAAAGGATGGGATTTGAGCACTTAACAGACAGATAAATGAAAGAATGGATAAAGTTGGTCACTATTTTGGAAGTGGGAAAGAAGAGTTGAGGGGTGAGATTCTGCATATTTTGAAAGTGGAACAAACTAAGAAGGAAGATCACTAGCAGAATCACAGTATGGGCAACCCAACCCTCAGATCATGAGTCAGGGGAGGTGAGCTGGCTGTCTGATGTCACCAAGGGGGGGAGGGGCACTCTCTACCCCACATCTTCAAAGCCAGACAGACAGCCTCACAGAAAGCCTCACATTGTACAGTGGAGAAACTGAGAGAAGGCGGAAAAAGGAGTGGTCAGGTAAGGAGAAAGCACAAGTGTGGATTTTAAAGCTCTGGCAATGGACAGGGGAGGTCACTTCCCACCTTCCAAAGAGAAGCTGACCGCAGTCTCTCATTCACCCCATGTGCTGTCATAGCATCCTGAACTACTTGTCCATAGTCCCTTATTCAATTGTAATTAATAAATTTATTGTGTCATTAGTTAATATGTCATTAAGCTCCAAGAGCGCAAGGGCTGTGTATGTCTCCTTCCCCTCTCTTATCTCTAGGGCCTAATACTGTTCCTTTCACATAGGAGGTACACAGCCAATTCTTGTTAAGAGCATGAATGAATGAACCCATACACTAAAGTACAGCCTGCTCCAGAGGCTTAAATACTGAGGAATGTATCAAGGCTTCCCAGCTCCCCTAAACATGTCCTAGATTGGGAGGATAGTGGAATTTTTACCTCTGCCTCTAACTCTGAACCTCTCTGTTTCTCCCATCCACTTTCTTGTTCTTTCCAATTTGGTCTTATTATTGCTTTAGCTCTCTTTCTCTGATTCTACACAGGAAGCATGCAGCTTTAAGTCTGAGGTGATCAGCAACGGAAACATTGGTGACTGTGTGAATTTAATAAAGGTTCACAAACTTTTTTTTTTTAATCTCTGTCATTAACTCTTTGCCTGTGTGCTGTCTCAGAACTGATTCTTTCTCCTTGTCTTCCTGTGTCCAGCTCAAAAGTTCCACTACCACCAAGCTCCTCCTGCCTGTGGATCTTCTGATGGGCCCCAGAAGGTACTTAGAGGAAAATCACCAAGCTAAACCATGTCCTCTGATTTCCTGCCTTGCTGGCCTCACAACCCTGCTGACCACATCCTCTGTTACTTTACTTATATACTTCCTCACCAGTCACATCACCCAGGAGTTCTCAGCCCCCAAAACCTGTCACTGACCCCCACCCAGTTTCTCTGCTTTACCCTCTCCTCTCACTCCAGGGTTCCTGTCCTTACCTTACCTCCACACTGCTCTTAGAACCATGTCTCTCTGCCTGGAAGTAGCCAGTCCTGTCCCTTTGTGGATATCCAACACCCCTTTTTCCCACAGGTGACAGTACAGGCCAAAATGCTGTCAGGCTGGTGGTGGCCAAGTACTTGGGGAAGTCTAGGGCTGGGGCCCCGAAACACTTCTCGGGGATGCCAGCTCTGTGCCCTCTATGCCTTCACTTATACTGCGGCAGATGGTCGGCAGGTGTCTCTGGCTGAAGGGGACAGATTCCTACTGCTTCGAAAGACCAACTCAGACTGGTGGCTGGTGAGGCGCCTGGGAGCATCCTCCACCTCTCGACCCATCTTTGTCCCAGCTGCCTACGTGACAGAGGAATCTATCCCTTCCCAGAGACCAACCACCCCTACCCCCAGCCAATCCCTGTGGACTCTTGGTAAGTAAGCCCTCCCCCACCTCCCTGGCTTCTGGGAATTATTGGGAAGGAGGCTGTCCCAAGCATCTGCTGACCCCCTTCTCTTATTTTCCTGTGATCAGCCTACTCCTCATCCTCACCATGGTGTCTCCATTGCCTCTCTTCCTAGTCTCAAGCCTTCTAGGTCTCATTTTATTTTTCACACACCCTCCCTGCCCCCGCTGGTCTTCCCTGTGAGCCCCCAGAACACGGGACCCAGCCAAGATCATGCCTCTGATCATTTGCCCCTGCTCGCCCCATTTCTTTGTCTCCAGGACCAAAATTGTTTCTTGGCTCATTGGAGAAGCAGCAACTGTCTCAGGCAACCCCAGGCAGAGCCCACGCTACATCTCAGCAGCCTCGTCCTCTTCATCCCAAAATGTGTAGAAGTATTAGTGTTACCAACTTGAAGCCCACCCTCCTGAAGCCCTTCCAGGAAGGACCACGTGGAAGATCTTTCTCCCAGGAAGACTTGCTGACAGAGGCCAGTGCCAACGTGGTGAGTCACAGCTCTCCTGAGCATCAGCAGTCAACAGATATTCACTGCTGGGCCCTGTTCTAGGCACAGTGGGAAACAGAACAGACAGACTCTCTGCTCTCAAGGGACTCCCAGGAGTGACAACACACATAAAACAAATAAGTAAGCTAACCCTTGGTAATGATAAGGGCTACCAAGAAGGTAAACACGGTGGAGAGTAACTGAGGTGACCTGGGAAGGCATCTCAGAGATGCCATTTAGTTGAATATGTGTAAGAAGGTAGGGACAGCCATGAAGCAAACTAGGAGATGAAAAGGAATTCTAGTTGAGGGACAGCTAGTAGCAAAGATCCTGACTGTACATGGCACCTGACAGATGATACAAGGACTGAAAGAAGGCCAACCTTGGCTATGCTGTTCTCTGTCTTCCTTCTAACTCCTGGCCCAGGGCAGGGTTTGTTCTGTGTCCTGTCTCACCAGCTCAAGTCAACAGTATGTCTCTTCTAGAGATGTAACTCCCTTACTCTTCCCAAAGACTCAGCCCCTCCCCTCTCTTACTTACTAGGATGAAAATGGCCCCTCCTATCTCATACCCCCTCTTTTCCTGTCTCCTTTTACTCTGGAAAATATGAGGGTGGGGCACTCCTCTCACCCCCCCCCCCAAACACACACACACACACACACTTACACTTACACACAAAGCCTGTTCCCCTTTCCTGCGGCCCTGGGGTGGGGGTGGGGTGGGGGAGGAGGGAAGTTGGCAACAGGAAGTGAGGAGAAGAGCTAAGACAACTCCGAGGGAGTAGAAAAAAAAAAAAAACAAACAGCTGGGGACGGGGTTTTTTTCCCCAGAACCTGGGTCACCCCAGCCAGGATCTGGTAGTGAGAAAATTGATGGGGGAAGAGGTGGAGGTGGTTAGGTGGAGAGAAGATTGCGGGGGGGGGGGGGGGGGGGTTTAGCACGGGAAGAATAACTACCTCTTTCTAACCCCTTTCCTGGCAGGCAGGACCCCAGCCCCTCATGTCAGAGGCCCCTGTGTACTGCAACTTGGTGGACCTTCGCAGCTGTCCCCGGTCCCCGCCCCCAAGCCCTGCATGCCCCCCTCTGCAGAGGCTGGACGCCTGGGAACAGCACCTGGACCCCAACTCCGGACGCTGCTTCTACATAAACCCGCTGACTGGCTGCAAGTCCTGGAAGCCCCCACGCCGCACTCGCACCCGAGAGACGGTGAGACCTTCCCTCCTGCGTATCCATTTGGCCCCTCAATCTTTTCCTTTCCCCTACTGTGCCCTAAAGTAGTATGTTTTCTTTCTGGGGCTCTCAGAAGATCAGAAGAATCAGAAAATTGTGAGAAGGGTGTTGAGAGCTGGTTGAGATGGCATCTGGGTGTAGCTTAGCTCCCTCTCCCCCTAGAACCCTGGCTCCATGGAGGGGACACAGACCCTGAAGAGGGACAACGGTGTCCTGCAATCTCAAGCAGAGGGCTCAGAATCTGACACAGGGACCCCAGAACTGCTCGACCCTCAGGTGAGATCCCTTCCTCTTCCGGATCACTTGCAAGAAAAGCCATCTTTTCACGACTTGCTCTTTTAGGCAAGGCATTCTTTATTGTCCCCCACCCCCATCCCCTTCCTGTCACCCACATCCGCACCCCTCTTACAGCCAGGGACTCCCAAGTTATAGTTTCCTCCACCTGTTTTTTCCAACCCCTTCCCCCAGGGTTCACCCTGCCTCTGCCAACGCACCTCCCAGCTCGACTCCTCAGAGGAGCCTTCAGCCTGGCAGCCCCCTCGGCCTCTGCCGCAGGTCCTGGACGACCCCCATGTAAGTCTCCCATTTTCGTGGGAATGCCTAGACCCTCCCTGCCCCGCCCCCCAATTCCTGCTTTTCCAGAAACATCTTCCTCTTTCGAGGGTTCTCTGGGTATTCCCGCTTATTCAGCCTCCCCTGCAACTTTAAAGGACCTCACTCCTGGGAGACTCTGGGGAAAGCCGGGGCGGCTGTCAGGGGTACTGGGTGACTTACTGATACCCCTCCCTCCGCTTCCCAGGAGGTGGAAAAGTCGGGCCCGCTCAACATGACTAAGATCGCCCAGGGGGGGCGCAAGCTCAGGTGAGGAAAGCTGGGAATACCGCAGGGGCTTGGGCTGTCGGACTCCGTACATAGGGTAGAGCAGAGTGTTGGGCAAGCGCCCTCCCCATGTGATTATAAATGACCTTTTCACTAATACCACTGCCCCCTCTGCCACTGCAGGAAGAACTGGGGCTCATCGTGGGTGGTGTTAGCGGGTAACAGCCTGATGTTTTACCGAGAGCCACCGCCGACCGCGCCCTCCTCAGCCTGGGTGAGTGCGAGGAAGGACAGGGCGGTTGCAGGAGGGGCTCGGGCACACTCCTAAGGCTAACTGTGGGGGCGGAGGTGGCGAGGGTGTTGTAGAGGATCGTAAGGAGTTAGGAAGGAGCACAGCCTCCCTTGGGCTCGCCGTCCACGGAGTGAGAGGGAGGCAGTGAGGAAAGCGGAGCCGTGGCCTCAATTTCTCCGCTGATTGCCAGGGACCAGCGGGTAGCCGACCCGAAAGCAGTGTGGACCTGCGCGGGGCGGCCCTGGCCCACGGCCGGCACCTGTCCAGCCGCCGCAACGTCCTGCACGTGAGTGCCCTCCCAAGCATTCCCAAAGCTCCACCCGACCCGAGGGTGCGCCCTCAATTTTCCGCACGGGTCTCCCGCTCGGCCTTCCTGCTTTTTTATGCTCCTCCCCGCTGATCCAAGCCTTTCCCCCGTCGGTGCCCCAGATTCGAACGGTCCCTGGCCATGAGTTCCTGTTGCAGTCAGACCACGAGACCGAGCTGCGGGCATGGCATCGCGCGCTGCGGGCGGTCATTGAGCGCCTGG